TCTAATGCAACACTAATGCTTACTCTGGAACAGAAACCAGGTCATCTCTGAGAGTCTATAAATGGACAGCCCTCTCTTGTCTATTACTTATTTATGTTTCCCGCCTTTTGCTCAACGAGCCTTGAGGCCCAAACAGAGAAACACACCATACATAAAGTTACCAGTACAGATAAATAAAACATCAGACTCAAACTGGTAGCTTCATCCTTCACGGTGTTGGGGCGGGTGGACTTCATCAACTTGATGCTGCACAAAGGATCAACAAAATGGAATCCTTGGAGACTGGAGCAGGCAGGTCATTTCTAAGATGTGAGTCCTTCCCAGAACTTACTCAGCTTTGCCCTTTCTAGAGAACACTTGTTTGCCATGGATGAGAGACAATGAGTCCCAATTTTTTGAAGTTGGGCAAAGTGAGGTTGACACGTCAAAGTCATCACCAGCTAAAGTTTCTGGATCACTTTCCAAAGTTTACCCATGCAATATGCCCTTTACACCCTGCAGCTGCCCACCCTCAAATTCACAATGGAAATACTAGCCATGGGGAAGTGTGTGCATGACAGAAATATCAGAACCCCTGCATCCAGTTCCCACAGAAAAACAACTAGGTAGGACTCAAGCCTGCTTGAACTCTCTGTGGCATCTATGACCCTGCATAGCTCTTCTGAGTAAAGTAAAGACCCATCTCTGGAGAAATATTACTCCCCTTGCTCCTTATAGTTTTCCTGCTGGCTGCTCACAAATAGCCCTCTCTCAGCTGGAACAAAGTAGGTTACTCTTGCCCAGTTCTCAGCCTGCTGCTAGGCAACCTGTGGAATGCCTCTGATGGAAAGATCTGGTGTTATTAGCAGCACAGGGGTACATTTCCAGAAACCACCCAGATGGAGAAGCAGAGGGCTCCCTGAGACACCTGTCAGGACTCCAACCTCTGCCCACAGAAGATATGGAGGAAGAAGTTTGTCTCAGCATTTACTCCGTCATCATCGTCACCACCAACACTTCAAGTGTAGATCACAGGAGTTCTGTGCACCCAGAGGGAAACTGTGTGAAGTAACCAAGAAGGATCACTCTGCCTTAGTAACAGGCACTGCCCAAAGGGTGGCAGTGGCCAAGAAACAAGCCCTTGACCTCAACGCTTCATCTTTTTCTCTTGCAAAGGATTAAATGCTGTCTGGTTCATTAGAAAAAATGGGCAGTTACAGTTAATACTGATTAAATGCACAAGACAGACATTATAATGGGGCAGGGGAAGATGATAGAATCTCCAGATGCCAAGGACTGTATTTTTGAAACCACTCAAAGTCCTTTCAGTAAATCAAAAGTATTGCTGATGTAAGGTATGATTATGAGATGAAAGTAGTTTTAGATCTTCCACTTTGTGGAAGAAAGGGTATAAGTCTTTTTTTTTTTATCTAATGATAACAAGTTACACACATTTACTGATTGTGTGCCAGGCACTTAAGGAATGCTGTGTTAAATTGTTTCATTTCATCCTTATAAATTTATGAGGAATACACCGTTATTATAAACCCATTTGATGGATGGAGGAACTGAGGTACACAGCTGGCAGCTGGCAATGCTGGAATTGGAATGCATGAAGTCTGACATTGGAACTCAGACTGCCCCTTTTTGCCACATAACCTTTGGCTGAGCCCATGAGGAGCCCCAGACCAGTGTAGGCACTCGGAATTCTTTTGGAGAGTCAGTACAGCCCCTGACCATAGTTGTTGCTCAAGAGTAATTATTCCCCAAGTGATTATTACTGTCCATCTCCTGAGGCTCTTATCTTGGTGAGAAAGCCCTCACCCTTATCCAGTTGGAAAGCTAAGGTCTTCCAGGCTTGGGGAAATCTTACCTCATTAAATCCATGAGCTACTAAGCAGCATAGGAAAAGATTATCATGAATTTCCTAAACTGGGTGTAACCATTTGGTTCAAAGCCTTGATTAGTCTGTTTTCTATGTATCAGGAACAGAAAATGGATGATTGACACTTACAACCTATTCTTGTCGGTGATTCCTCCAATTTCCAAAACTCCTACTTGAGTCTTTTTAACACAGCAGTGCCTGATACCACCACAGACAGCAAGGTATATCTGAGAGTACTGAACAAGGCATGTGGGTTCAAGCCTCTGCTTCAACCAAAGCTAATTTTTGCACGGTCTCAAGCAAAGCATCCAACCACTCCAACATCAGCAGTACTACCAGTCAAATGAGGACAACGATGTTTGTAATAATGTTACATAAGCAGACAAATGAAGATACCACATGTGAAAGTATATAGGAATATAAGTAATAATCACTAAGAGTATAGCTAGCATTTCTTGATGGCTTATTATGTGCCAGAAACCCCATGGGATGGATATTATTATTTCCATTTGCTGGTGAGAAACAGGAAGGTGAGGCTTTAAAGGAGAGAGAGAGAGAGAGAGAGAGAGAGAGAGAGAGAGAGAGAGAGAGAAGAATGAGAACTAACAAAAGCAGAATGTGAACCCAGGTTTTTGTAGCTTACCCATTCTCAGCACAGCTGTCAGTGTTCCCCAAAGTGGGGGGGAACAGGTCCTTAGGGTCAAAAAATATTACCATATAAAGCACAGATGTACATGGACTATATAAACAGATATGCAAATGTATTAAAATTTCTTGGGGAGGGCAATTAGGAAAAAATGTCTAAAAGGATCTTTAGAAGATAATAATGAAGAAAATTTTGAGACATACTGGTCTAACTTCACTACATCATTCCATTCTCATAATTAATAAAGATGACCATTACTACCATGTCACTAGGCTCCTATACTGGAAGTTTGTAAGTTGTGTTCAAAGGTAGTCCCAGAGAAAGTGGTGCCACTTGTTGCCATTGTGGATTGTTCAACTTAGAGGACATGTGTATGGGATTCAAATACCTTCACATTTTAATTCTAAAGGTTCTATCTTTTGCCATTCGAAACAAAAAAAGTAATGTGTCATTCATGCTACCCACTCTCCACTCTGGATCCAGTAGATATTTGGATTAATTTACACAAATTTGAGGTAGGAAAAACTTGTTTTAACATTACTGACGAAATATCAGGAAAAACAAAAACCATAATTGGTGCATTAAAACATTGATACAAATCTGTGTAGATCTGCCAGTGGATTCCTTCTATCCTTTTACCAACCGAACAAACTGGAGGTTTGTGGGTAAATTCCAACTTATATCTGTAGATTACTGGCCCATGCCCTGCTTCTTAAATAACTAAGCTTATTCATGCAATATGCTTCCAGAAACATTTAAAGTCCAGTCATTGGCAACGGTTGATCAAAGTTGTTTGCCACTTCTGTCAGTCTATTTCAACTTGATACAGCCTACTTTCATCTTGCTCTCTTGGACTTCTTGCGTAGGCACTGTAGCCATGATGCCCACCATGACCTCCTCGCTCTCATTGCCCTCTTTAGTGTTCTCTCTCTCTTTTTTTTTTCCTCCCTCTCAGAAACTTCTTGGTGTTCGATTCATGGATTCATTCATTCCTTCATTTTATTGTATTCAAGCAAATAATGACCCTGTTCCGACAAAGATCCAGATATTCTTTTAAAACAGTGGCCCTTCCTGTCTGGTTTGAGAGATCCAACTGCCTAGGCCAGTGTTGTCCCAATTCCCTACTGGACAACGAGGGCTGGAAAGGAGGGACATAGAGTCACGGGAGACTTCATTTTGTAGAAATCGCCTTTGAGGTGTTCTTCTGACTGAAACACGGCAGGGACGCACGTGCTCACTTGTAACGTCAGGCCAGGCTGGTCCTAAGGTAGCAGTGATAATCAATCCAGTTGCCATAGCGGCCGTAAGTGTTCATTTACCACTATGCGACCTGGAGCAATAATATATTATGCCTTTCGCTAGCGGGAGCTGCGCCAGCTGCAGCACGGGGCCGCTGTGTTGGCCATCCGTCACCACTCTCCTACACAACCTTTTGTTCCCTGCTCATTACGGTGAATTATAACAGGAGGATAGCACATTTTTCAGGAGAGTCTCTCCTGTTAGGTCTAAGTGCTAACTCTTCCCAGGTTGTTCCAAATCAGCTACACCCACCACACAGGTGCACAACATTGAAGCATGGGACAGTGTCGCCCACCGGACTTCTCTGCTTTCCTTCTCCCTTCCAAGATAGGATAGAAAAACACTCCACTCCACGTACAATAAATATTGGCTACTGCATTTTGTTGCACTCTGTCGCATCCCTGAAGCCTGTCGCTAAGGTAAATTATATTATAGCACACTAAATAGGTCATCGTGTCAGCTTTGGGCCTTGGCACTGCTACTTCAAGACAAAGACTACAATCTCTTCTGAAGTCATGGATGGGAGGATCAGGAACAGCACCACTACCCCCTCAGCATTTTTTGAAAATGTTTCACTATAATAGTGATTATAAGTTATTTAAGTTTAAAAAAATTACAGGCTGGTCAAGAACTCAGGTGACTAAGAGAAATCATGGATAAAATTGTTGGTTAATATTATTCTTGATTGTCCAGATGGGAAACAACCCAAATTACCACTAATTAGCAAAGGGATAAAAAAATTGTACACCTATTCACAGAATATGGAATGCCCTTCCAGCAATTAAAAGAAATGAAACAGTAATACATGCAATGACAAGAATGAATCTTAACATCATTATATAAAAGAAACAGAACACAAGGGACTATATACTGTGTGATTTCATTGATATAAAATTCTAGCAAAGGCAAAATATAGTAAGAGTAAGTGGATCTGTGGTTGCCAGAGGTCAAGGGTTAGGGAGGGAATTGAAAGCAAAGGCACCCAAGGGAGTTTTTAGGGTAAGGAAACTATTCTATTGACTTTGGAGGTGGTTATATGATTGCACACATTTACCAAAATTCATCCAACTGTATGCTTGTGAATGGTGGACTATATTGCATATAAATAATACATTAATAAATTGAAACAGATAAAAATTTAAAAAAAAATCTTGACTGATAGATGGCCTTGACTTTTTCTCATTGGGACAGACATCCTACAAGACAGAACTGGCATTGTATAGGAAAACAAGTTTTATGCAGATAAAAATGAATGAGGCAACCTGTGAGCCTGAACTTGGAAGAGACCACACTGTTCACAGTCTCTGTGGTAAGGTGATAAGCTATTACATGTACCACCACTGTGACTGAGAAAACCTGAGAGCTTCAGTTCAACTTCTGGTTAATTCACTATGGATGTGAAAGACGCCGAAATGATGGTGTGATTGCAGGTAAGTGTTTACCCTTCCGTGAACCTCAGATTCCTTGTTCTTAAAATGGATGGGTGGGACAAAGGGGTGAAAAAGCCTTTGAAGGACACAGTTGTGCTATTCTTTGCTCTAAGTTCTTTAATGTGATGGCATCTTCTGGTTTCCTTGGGACCCTCAGGCCAAATCTGGCTGGTCCAAAGTCGTCATTCTGTAGCTTGGGGTAAAGGGAATTAAGATGCATAAAAGAAAGATGACCAGTGCTATTTCTGACAGTGGACGCCCTCAAGGCCAATTTCCATGCCTGGACACAGTCATCAGGTTCTAGTATGTTCTGACCTGAGGGTGCTCCCAGAACATCCCCAGTGAGTTACCCTGCTTTGTTTTTGGTTGCATGGTGAGTGCTCACTTTTTATTTAAGAAAACTTTGAGATCTCAAGATGAGGAATTTTTGATCTTACTTTTTTATGCAATTATGAGTCATTCTATCCACTGGTATCTGCAACCCAAGGTTCCCTCTCATCACTGATCTGTTTTTTTTTTTCAATCTCTTCAAAGATCCTTGAGGTAAGCAACCAAGGGTTTAAAATGTTTGCACTTAAAAATAAAAAATGAGAGGACCGGATACTGGTGACTAGCACACTGTCATGACCAAGAAATATTTTTAAAAAGCAGAGCTTTCACAAAGATAATTATTGATCTTTATATCACCCACCAGTCTAGTGATCAGGCAAATCTCCTGTGCATAAAACAAAGCTAAGTCTTCAAACCCTCCCTTCCTAAAAGGCTGAATAAAGACATGATCCATAACATCTTGGAATATGCCTCTTAATGTTTTGAAAGCAGGGTGTACTTTTTTTTTTTTTCCTGTGACGGACCTTGCTGAAAACGAAATAATCAGCAAAAAAACTACATTATCATCATAAAAGTAACTATGAGACTCCTAAAAAATGATCAGATACTCTGCACACAGACCATCTTTCAAAACTTGTACCTAGATGTGGAAACTGAGTGTCAGTGAATTCATGTCTCAAGGTCAAGGCCACTGGGCTTGGAAACAGCTGGGATATACGCCCAAGGAAGACCAAATCTCAAGTCAGCGTGCTTCTCTCTGCTTACTGTCAAACTTGAGAACCAGGTTTCCTCTAACTTTTCTATTCTCAAGGCTCATTGTGCATGCTAAGCAGGATGTTCTGCCATCATTTGTCCATGGATAAAAAGGTATATGTTAAGTTTCTCATAACTAATGCTTACTTCACATTAAGGATATAGCCCCAGCCACACATTGATGTGAGCAATGGCTTATAATCAGTTTGTAAAATTATCACTTAACTGCATTTTCCTGTTACCAATAATACTTAGGGCTTGGCTGTTAGAACACTGTGTGCATGTTATGTACATATACATACAAACACTTATGTTATCTCTTTATTCTGGATCTCCCTAGCCTCCTTCAAACACACACTGCATTTAATCTTTGGGCTTATATGCAAAAGTGATAATAGAATACACCCTGGGTGCGGGTGGGAAGGTATGGGAAGCTGTGCACAACAAGAGAATGACACAACTTCATGCTGGTCCCCAGTGCCTTCACACACTCTGGAACAAACGAGGCTAATAATATTATCAAGCCTGCAAAGCCCCATTAGAGTTGAAATGGCAGCTCACTGAAGGTCAAAATTATTAGATTTTCTTTTCCACCTTTGTTGAATGGTTGAATAACAACTTCCTATTTTAAGCATATATACTCCTTTGAAATTGTTTCACCCAAATCAAGACAGCTGGAGATAGGGCATCTTTACTGGCATCATATTCTAAATAAAGTCCAAGCGGCTATGCACAGCAACATTTTCTGATTTTGAGACTTGGCCCTTCAACTAGTAGTTTAGAAAGAAAGGAGACTTTGCTATGATGTTGGGGGAAACCGGGGTGCAGAGGAAGATTGCCAGGTTCTGCAGGATATTTTAGAAGTACACTGCCAAGTTTAGCATTTAACCTCATACATTTCTCTTTTTATTCCCTCTCACATTTAAAGCTAGCTTAGGAATGTCAATTCTGATTCTATCCCATCTTGTTCTGGCTCTTGTAGTCACTCTTCTGAGGTGTTCTTGCTCTTTGCTATAATCAAGGTTACACTTAAAAGGGGATGTTGTTTCTTGATCAGGGTTCCAAGAGAATTATGTTTTCAATGCAAAGTTTCAGTTGCTGGTTTAGAGGACTGTACAAGGAGACTGAGGGTCTCAGCCCAATGGTATCTGCAAAAAGTCTGTTCTCCAAGTATGGCATCATTAACCTCAGACAGTTATCTCACAAAAGTGAGCAGCTGGTTCAAAGGGAAACAGATAAGGGGGTCTGTAATGTCAGTATGTATCACTCCTGCTAGCTTGGCAAACCAGGGTCTTTGCCATTAGCAGTCAGTCAAATTCCTATGAAGGAAAACACTACACACATGCTTACACAGGGCCTTTGGGCTGTCCAAGAAATTCTATAAACCAAATAACTGCAACATACACTGAACATGAGATGTACCAGGTGAGGATAAAACATTTCTGAGGCCCAGCTTATCTTAATCCAGCTCTGCAAATCTGATTTAACTGGTCTGAGATAGAGCAGGGACATCAGAATTGCTTAAAAACTTCCAGGAGATCCTCATATGCAACCAGAGCCGGAACCATTGATCTAGAACTAGCCATCTGCATCCAACACAGTACTAGGGACCAGGAATTCATATGAACTGCTTTAGTGGGCAAAGTGGTAGTGGAGAGAAACAAATCCATGCATAGAAAACAGCATGGCCCAGAATTCCTGACTGATGCTTCCTATAGTCCCAGAGGGCAGGAAACTACTTCCAATGTCCCTACAGAAACCTAGAAATATGTGAGTAACAACAGCAACACTTAAAACTGCATACCAGCCCCCCATGGCTGAGCAGGCCATAGGCCCAGCATGGTAGAATTCCTCCTGATCGTGTCCTGGGTTTAGCAACAGGCAGAGTACACAGATGCCCCAGAGTTTCCACAGGGCCCACAGTTGGGAGAGGGAACACATGCCTCTAGGAGCAAAATAAAAAGAACAAAACAACAATAAAGAAAGCAAACAGCCTACTTTGGTTTTAGAGCAGAAAGGGCCAGCAGCTGATTGGCTTAAGAGCAGAGTGAGGACAGCTAGAGTTGAGTATGTGCAGCAAATCCAGCAGTTTGGGGGTAGAGTGGAGAGACAACTCATAAAATATTATTTCCCTCCCCGTCCTCTCTCTAAAAATCCAAACACACGAGCCTATGACCTGCATGTGCCATGGGGGACAATAGGAACTCTCATCTCTCTTTTTTTAAGGGAAATAAGTATTCCGAGGTTCCTGTTGGAAGGAGTGAGGCATCGCAAGGCTGATACCTCTGGGGACAGTACAAAATGCTGGCTTCTTGCACACAAGCAGGTGGTGCCAACTGGCTAGCACACGGGCCTGGCTCTCAGCCAAGAGACCGTGGCTCATCTGAGCTCGCGTCAGGGAAATGTTGTATGGTGGCCACTGCAGATTGGAAGGTGAGGGAAAGAATAAAGCTCTCCTGGCTACAACTACCAAGAATGGTTCTTGTTAGAAGAAATAAGCCTTCTCACTGCAAGGAGAAAAACAGCTCTTTCCCCAGATCTCTTCCTTTTAATCTCCTTTCCCCCTCCACCACGAACAAGACTATGCTCCATCAAGAAGTGGTATCAGAAACAAAGGAATAGCAGCAACAACAAAAACCCTATATTTTGAGAAGAAGAATTAATTGATTCAGATGGAGTGTTTCCTTGGCAAATCCCAGGCAGCTCACATTGTCATCTATACTCATGTATTACAGGGGATGTACGAAGACCCCAAGTCACAAGGATTCCCCCTTCTCTGAGAAAACCAGGATAAAGATCAGAGGCAAGTCATCCCAACTGTCCTGTGTCTTTTGCGATTGAGTGGATAAAATTGCATGGGAAGGAAAAACCAAATTGAAACAAACATGGGCAGCACCTGGTGAACACAAGCAGAGGTCTTGGCTGCTTTCTGTCCACAGCTGCAGCACTGGGAGCTGGTACCTAAGCAGGGAGTCCATGGGGGATCCAGCAGTGATGGTAACTATCCCAGGCAGCACGGGGCTTCAGGGGCAGCTCTCCACGGGCATCATGAGTGGCACCAGTGCTATCCACATGGCTGCCCCTGGGCATCTCTGGTGAAGGATGGTGTTCTCCTTGGAGAGCATGGCTGAGTGGCTGTTTTAAGTATCTTCAGCTCTTGAAGATGTTACCGCAGGGAAAGTGAAAGCAGCCAAGCCAATCAGGTCAGAAGAGATGTGCCCCAAGATGCCCAGGTTGTTAAATAGATATTTGGGAAAGGGAAGATTTAAAGGTCTTTCAGAAAGGATGGAGACAAAACTACCTAGAGATGGAAACCCTATTGTTTATTTCCAGGAGAATTTGATTCAAGAAACACAAGTCACAGGTGTTAAAGATGAAAAGTAAAATTGAAAGGAAAAAAGTCTCTGTTTTTCTTGTGATGCAAATACAAGGCACCATCCGTTTAAAAGAAAGAAATGCCTTTCTTCTTTCCACTCCAAAATGCCAACATTACAAATGACTTATAAGGGTCACTTCTGGAAGGCAAAATACTCTTCCTGGTTCACTTCCTCAGTCACTCCACAAACAGTAACTACAAATAGATGAAGTTCTCAGCTAGTGCTTGCATCTGTCAAAGACAAGTAACAACAACAGCAAACAATATAGAATTTATGCTGGACACTTTTACATAATCAATTTTACTTCATCCTATACTCTCACCTTGCCAATCATAATTCAGTCCTATTTAAAAGATGAGAAAAATGAGGCTTAGAGAAGTTATGTGATGAGACAAAGATAAGATAAATATTAAGGACAGAACCAGGACATGAATGTGGATTCCAGTTCTAGTTCCAGATTCTTCCTACCCTCCATGAGGGGTAGAGTACAAAGGCACAGCCCCTACTCTCAGGAACCATGAGACCCAAACCCGTTAAATGACTGGAAACTAGAACCTGTTTATGTTCTCTTCGGGTTTCAAAGAACAGATGCAGAAGAGAGTGATATCTTAATTCCGGCAAGAGAGATATCATGAAGGGGGAGCAGTCAGAGGGTTGTTCCAGAGAAGGGGAGATAAGAGGGCTTGGAAATGCAAAAGGAAAGAGGAAGGGGTTGAGTTGAAGTATATTCTAAGCAATGAATGAGAAGAAAAAAATGTGAGCTGTCTTTCCTAGCTGAACTGGAGTGAAGGAGTATAGTACCACTGTGGCATCCTGTCATTCGTTCTCTCCTTCACCAGCATCTCCAAAGTCCCTCGCATATGTCAGGAACTTGGCTCCACAAAAGATCACAACACACCCAAGACACAGTGCCTCCCCTGGGAGTCTCCCAGCCTGATGTGCTGGGATAGTTGAATCCCACAGGACTCCCCAGCCAGCCAGATCATCTCCTACCCATCATAACAAAAACACAGCAAGTTGTCATCCCAACCCTTGCATGGATTCTCAAGTTCATCAGTATTGTTTTCCAGAATAAATTATCTCAATATAGAACTAACGTGCGTGTGGGCATGGTGGAGTGAACTCAGCAGCTAAAAATAAATTGGCCAAAGAGGGTGACCTCCCTCTTCCATGCAGCACCCAGTACTACTACGTGCACGAGAATCCCAGCAGCTCTGGATGCCATCGCCAGCACATCCACTAGGAATGTGGACCCAGGCAACAACCCCATGACCACCACCTCTGCTCTACTTGTTGTGGCCTCCTCTGAACTCTGGAACTGGATGTTCCATGGTGAGACACAGAGCCTGGATTGAGGGGTTACTACTTAACGTTGTTTGCCTTGTCAACTGGTGTCTTGTTCCATTTGCCATAGATCCCACGATGGGATGTTGGAAATGGCGCTGACACACTCCTACACATCTTAAGCTTTACGTTTCCCAGTCTGCTCCTCCTTACATCTTTATCTGCATTTGGCTTATAAGTGAAATCAACTGATAATGCTTCATTTCATACCATCTGTTCTGTGTCACAAACACTAGTTTTGCAAAAGGAACGAGAAGGATCTTTTAAGACTATTGAAAACTTTCAGAAACATTTCAAGCTCTGTAGGCCAGCAGCTGAATCTTAATTAAATGAGTGTCTGGACACATTCAAAGAGAAAGTCCCCCAAATGTAAGGGTGACACTCAAGTCTTTCTTAAAAAGTGTATGGTGAAAGCATTAGTTTTATGGTGGTAAGTTTTGGGGAGAGGTCCTAGTTTTATTCCCAACAGATCTGGTATCTATCATCTATTGACTTGTGTGGGGTTTAACAAACATGAGAAAAGCTTGCTGCCAAAAACTTCAAGGGAAATCTTGTTGAACATTCATGTCGCAGATGAAATGTCATCTCCTCACACACTCCTGAGTCCTAGCAGGCCAGTTCTTTCCCCCGAACAACTCAAGCCTATCATGGGTCTCAATCAGCTGTCATCACATTTGGAGTTGGAAGGCATGCTGCTTGAGGGCAGGTACTTGCTTCCTTCCTCTTTACAGTCATCTAGTAATAACAGGTTTGAATTCGATATGGAACTGCTGACAAAACTGGGCATTTTTCTCTAGTTAACTCTTGCTTGTTGGTTGTCTAACCAATAGGTGCCAAATAAATGCCAGTTGTGGTCCTGTTCATCCAGACATTGCTTTCATGACTTTAAAATTCCTGGTTCTAACTCAAGTACAAATGTTTTCAAAAAGATGCTCAATGTTCTTGGGAGTTCAACATAAGAACAATAACTCTCTTTTATACCTTACAGAAGCCATGACAAGCTGTTTTTCACCAAGTTACTCCTGCTGTATTTTGCTGGAGAAGAACCGGAGAGCCAGCCCACCAGCCTGTGTACCTTACTCCAGGCTACAGAGCCAGGATGCATCACTGTGAGGAATCAGACCCAACCAAGAATTCTGACTCTCAGTCTTGACAGTCCTGAGGCCTCTCTAACTTCTTTACAGCTTTCTAGTGTGTGTTCTCTTTATTCATTTTGTTTATTTCACTGAGAAAAGTACAGTTTACAGTCATAGACTCTCCAAAGATGTCAGATGACATCTGAAATTACAATAATAGTCCATAGAACTCTTAAGCAGGATGGTGTATTATTGAAAACAGAAAATAATAAACAGCACTGTAATCACTGGCACATTTTAAACAAGATTGCTTCACCTGATTTTGTTTCCTTTCTTGTTAGACAATTTCACCTACAGGTTTATAATAAAAAGAAGGGAAAGCATATTTTCTTGTTGGAAGTTTAAGAGCATTACGTTCAGTGATGAATAGAATGATTCCTCTTATTTTTATCATGCCTTGCCCCCAGTATAAACTCCACAAACACTTGTTCAGTCGAATTATTATTAGAACAGTTTGGGGTTTTTTCCCCCAATATACAATAATAACTTTCATTTATATAATGTCTTATAGCTTATAAAGCATATTCTTCATGTATTACTATTTAATTCTCATCACAATGCCGAAAGGTAGATATTAAGTTCTTCATTTTACAAATCAGAAGGCAGAGGCCCAGGTATATTAAGTCATTTACCCAAGGTCAAAATTGCTCATAAAGCATTGATCTTTTAGGCAACAATGGCAATTTAGATAAAATTTGGTCTTTCTCAAAGACAGTATAGATGAGCAATTAAGAGTAGGAGACTTTGAAACCAAACTGCCTGGGTTCAAATCCTACTCTTACCAAGAACCAGCTCTGTGACCATGTACAAATTACATAAATAAACTGTGCATCAGTTTCTTCACGTGTGAGATGAAGGATATAACAGTAGCTACCTCCTGGTGTATTAGTTAGGATGACTTGATTAAAGCATTTGGTATCTCAAGGACTCAATAAATAGGAGATGTTATTGTATGATAATCTCTCTTTCTGACTTAGGGAAAATATCTTAATAGGTTCCACCATCCCTGCAATGATTTAATTGGTCCCACTATCCCTGTAATGACCATATATGTACTAGACTACTGTAAATATAAGAGGGAGCCATGAGTAAGGAGCATGGATCAAGCTTGGGAAGTCCTGGGTATGAGTCCTGGTTCTGCCCTTTATCTGCTATGAAATCATAAGCAATCTTTGTGATGACCAGTTTTGGCATCTGTGAAGTAGGATAATAAGTAATCCAATCAGACTCACAGTACTGCTGTTTGCAGTGAATCAAGCGAGATCTGAATGGAAAGCAGTATGGAATCTACTCAGGCATCCATTCACAGCCTGTTGGCAGTGTGCCTCCTAAGTGCCAGGCACTGTGCTCAACAGTGGTGATTCAAACATGCACCTGGGTCGTGGGGGACAGATATACAGAATGAGAAATGGCTGTGCTAGGATACAAATTCAAGTAAGGCAATATTACAAAGTGCTATTTCTGAAATAGACACTGTGGGTCTACGAGAGCGTTTCAGAAATGTAAACTCGGCCCACATTTCCACTGCAGAGAAGTCTAACATCCTCTCAACATCCACAGTTAGGAACTTTGCCAAGAAAGGCAGGTGAGGACTCCATTGTGCCTGTCATCTTCTGCACTGAAGAACTTGCAAATGCAAGAGGGCTTTTTAGCTATGTTTCCACCCATTCTATCACTTCACGTATCTCTCTGGCTACACAATACAATGGGACGCAATGTCCAGGCTTTATTTTCATTCCTTTCAGTAGACACTATGGAAGACCCACGTTGGGGTAGCCTTTGTGCCTGGTGAATAAAGAGGGAAAGGACATTTTGCTGAGGTGCTGAGGGGGTTGCAGTTCAGTGAGGCAGATGAACTCACGTACTAATCATTCCAGAATAAGGTGCTCAGAGTTGCGCTGCCCATAAACAAAGGGCTTGGTGTTAAAATGAAGAAAGAACCCTTAGCCCACCTGGACTCCAGAGAAACTTTCCTGGAGGAGACGATACCTGATCTTACACTTAAAGGGTAAGAGCTAGTTAGATGGGAAAAGAAAAATGGTGGATAGGACAGAAGGGGTTGAGAACACAAAAAAGGAGAAAATACTCTGAAAGAGCTAATCAATTATCCTAGTGAATTGCTACATTTCCATTTCAAATGCAAGTATTTGGACCCCCATCTATAAATCATATATATATATATATATATATATA